TTCTTCTTCTTCTTCTTCCTTTCTTTCTTTCTTTTAGCAATGCACTTTTTGAGTTGAGTACTAAACTAGGAGTCCAAAGACTGGCAGTGTAATCTTGACTTGGCCTGTGTGTAACCATGACTGTCTCACTAATCTCTCTGTGCTAATGTCCTTTTTTGTAAAACAGACTTCATAATACTGCCACACATTACTCACAGAGTTGCTGTGAGGAGCAAATGAAGACAGTATGAAATGGAAGATACATAAATAAAAACATCCTCTGAGTTGGGGAATGTTGAAAGTGATTGGTTCTTTAGATATACTTCACCTTCATTGGCAGCTGGCAGTCATTATCCATTTTTCATATCTTACTACTGTTCAAGAAACAAACAAATACACCAGTAAGGTTGCAAGGAGGGAGAAAATAAAAGCTGGAAAGCTGGGGAATAAGAAGAAAATAATGACACCTCAAAATTATAAATCTCACAAATTTGTAACTGTTACAATTTACATGGGGATGAAGAGACCAATGGTCTTTATAGTCTTCAGACAAGAGATATTTGTTATCAGCAAACCAATTTATTTTCCAGGAATCAAAAGTGACATGCTAAATATTAATTCAAATATTACATTTCTGTTTTATACAATATGAATCTATCTCAAATATTAATGATTTTAAACAAAAGAAACCCGAGTTTTCTTCCACACAATTCTTCATTTTCTTAAAAAAAGTTCATCATTTGTACAAATACAGGTGAATAAAATGTATTACTAAATATAACCATTTAATTGCATTAAATGGACTCCTTTTACCTACTTAGTAAGTATGATGGGGTCTGCAGCGGTCAAACTCAGTTATGAGTCCAAAGCTTCAGATTTGGCATAGATGGAAATGTTAGGCTGGATGAACCCATCTTTACTTGATTTACCCCTTAATATTTCCTGCCTGATACAAAATACATAATATACATGCCTTTTACAATAAACCTTGTTTTATACAACCCATGATTCGGAAAAGTATGCAAAGTACATTTTTAGAAACTGAATTATTTTAAACATAGTAGGAGAGTTTACTATTTAAATAATTCATGTGGTGAGTGTTTTTATTTGATTGACTTATATGAAATCGCTGATATTTTCAGCATTATCGACTTACACAAATGGCAATTTCATGTGATTCAGTGTCATAAAAAGTGAAGAATCATTCTTTCACCTTAAAATAAAGTTCAACTATATATAAATAACCTACCCGTTTATATACACCTAGGCTAACGTGCAATTTTTTGGTGAGTGGGGGTGAGGGAAGGAATTGCCAAGTCAGCATTTTGGATAGATGGATAAATTCAAATAATTCCCATTGATTGCTCTAGTGGCCTCTTTGAGCAGTAATATATGTTAATTAATACATTGGGGGATATGATAAAATTTAATATAAATGGAAAAATTGTTTTCTTTACAGTAGATTTGCTATTACGAAAACACTCAGTTTATTTTCTTAAAGATTAAATACCATGTGAGTCACCATAATAACACATTTGCTTACATGCATCTCCATTTATGCTATCACTGGAAATTGTGAGGGGTTATGCTGCTATTTTAGTGTAATCTGTGCTGTGTGCTTTGGTTAATGCTCAGTAAAGATCTGGATCCCATGGGGCAGTTGTGATGAAAGAGAGTGGTTGTTTTCCAAGTGAGTAGCCTTAATCATAAATTAGGAATCTTCATCCAAGTCAGTGATTAAAGAGCAGTTTTAAACTCCTGAAATCTGAGTTGGGGAGGTCAGGTGGGCAAGGAATAGATTCATAGTCTGTCTCTTCATCAGATTCAGCAACAAGGCATTGGGTATCTTGCTATTAACTGCTGTTGAAAGTGTAATCAGTTTCTTCTTTTATCCAGCCACTGACTTCTTAACTGTAAAGTGCATTCAAATACTGTGAGCACAAAAGGCAGAGCCTAGAGTGAGGCGGGTTGTGTGTCCTTAAAAAGTTCTGGGGTATATTGCCAACCTTTGATGAAGTCCACGTATGGCTGCCAAGAACTAACATTTTAAAGGGTACATGGAGTCTGGGTGTTGAGTAAAGTCACAACTTAAACCACCAAATGTAATAATATGAATCACTTTGCATTTTGGAAAATATAATGCCAAAAGGGAAGCGTATGCCCTATCCAAGTCTTAGCCTACTTGCTGATCTCTTCTGAATGGCGCCGAATGCAGCTGCCATCCCTTACAGTGCACTATTGTACCAGGTGTGCCAGAGTCAGCCTTGCTGCTAAGTTTAGCTCTGCATGTGGGGATTTCACACTGTGCAGCCCCTTGGAGAGGGGAGTACTGGCAAATGACTTTGTATAAAAGGAGAAATCACTTGGGAATTTCACCACCAGGCTAGATTTAGATCAGAGTAAACGGGCCAGTCTAAATTGGTAACAAACTAGAGAGAGCTGCAAGTCTGGTAGAGGTGCCATTAAGCTAACACCCATTCACTTCTCTCTCATGGCCACTGCAGTTCCTGAGGGAGCACCCTGTTAAAATTTGATGACCACCTTTTAGGTGCAAGAGAGAACTGATTTTTTTAAGCAGGTAGAATTTAACATGACTGTATTATTAGTTCTTTGGTGGCAAGAGTATGGCCAGCCTTCTAATTTCTAATTTGTAAACAGTACTCATTTCCTTTGGCTCCCTTTTGGAACATTAGTTTAAAAAAAAATCAAATTCTGTCTCCACTACTGGCATCCTAGGGCTACTTATGAGAATGGAATTTTTCAAAATATATTTCTCTTATAGGTAATAAGTGAAACACTTCATCTTTGGCAGGGATTAGGAAGGGAGGAACATTTTCTGGGAAAGACAAATGTGACATTTGAGGACGTTGATTTCAATAGAGATTTGTTGGAGGGTGTTGTTCAGTCCTTTCCTCCTTTGTTTCTCTTTGTTTTTCTTACACTCAGATCTAAAAGGAGTCTAGTGATGACAAAATAGCTCTCAGATCATTTTTCAGAAAGAAAAACCTGGCACCCAAAGGCTTGAATGTTTTGTCCAAAGCCACAATCATTCAATGACAGAATACCAAGATTATTTCATTTCTGCTTTAAAGAACAATTGAGTCTTCTTTGCCAAGGTTGAGCGTGATGGAGAAGGAGAAAAAAGCAAAGAAGCTGCACGGATAATATAAGATTCATTGTCATAAGCGCATTTTGACTTAATTTTCCCTTGTTTTTGCGGGAGCTCATTGTTCCAGATTTTTGTAATACATCTGCCATTATCTGAGCTTTTAAAAGTCCAGTAATAGTAATAACACAGATATAAAATGCACATTTCCCCTCTCTAGATGAGTTTGTTTACTAGAAACTTCTTTTTTTGCAAACTTGCTTTTTACACTGAAACAGTTTCTTTAAAAACTTTTTTCCATAGATGATAAAAATCACTGCTACTCTGGGAAAGAGTTCATGGTCCTTTCCATTGTCCTCTGATATGATTTAGCTTCATGTAAGCAGAGGTGATTCTTTACAGTCCTAGTGCTAAATTAAAACATTCCTTTCTTGGGGTACCCTCTTTGAACAATCAGCCCTTTCCAAGGCAAATTTTCCTTGTTCTTGGAGCTTCCAGGGATCCTGTGTTTTTTATAACAGCTGCATATGAATTTCTGTGGTCTGAGGTTTGCTCAAGGCCCAGGCTCTCTTTGGTTACCATGGAAACCTGTCCTCCCAACCAGCTGCCATTTCCTGTATTCCTGGCAGAGAATGAGTCTTAAACCTCCTAGGTATCCCACAAGCAGAGAGAGTCAAGATAGAGAAAAACACAAAGAAAACATGAACGACTTGTTAAATGAACAACTTGTTGATTCCCTACGTGGGAAGCTACATGTAACAAAGTAAGCGTTCCTGGACATTAATGGACAAGAGTTCACTGAGATCCACAAATACTCACTTTCGTTCTGACTTTAAGGAGTGGGGATTCGACTCTGCATCTCTACATCTGTGAATTGAGGAACACTTTCTGTGCTCTCAGAGGTGATGGGTGAGATGACATGTTTGAGTCGAAGAAGCATTGTGAAGAGTAGGATGAGGAGAATGGCCAGGAGGCTCAGGAATAAGCCCACGTACATATACAGGTTGGAATACCTATCTGAAGTAGTGTCCACCTCTGTTGCCAGGGTGGGGAAATGGGCCCGCCCAGTGAGATTTCCATGATACTTGAAATGTACCTCTGTCATCACTCAAGACTTGAGTTGGTACCTGTTTCTATTTGATTTCTATTGGCCTTGAGGCATTCCACAGTCACTTAGACTGTTTCTGAATATGCTGGAGGTGTTCTAACAATCTCATACAAAGTGATCACAACCGGAGCCAAGTCAGTAGTGCACAAGCAAGAAAATGGTGATGTTCTAATTTGGCAATTGCCACGCCCTCTCTATCTTCCAGCACAGCATCCCTCTCCCAAATAGCTTTTATCAGAATGTCTTAATCATTAAAAAAAAGTAAAATCTTTTATTTCCCACAGTCCTACTCTTATACTGATTAAAATAAATGTGGTGAAACTGCTTTATAATACTGATATGGGGACAAGAATGTCTCAGAGTATTAAATCAGACTTTTCACTATGTTTTGGTAGAGGGAGAAAGGGCTCTATTTTATCTACAGCTCATCTAAATGTGTGCACTAATGACGTGTATTTATTATTTGGGTTCTCCTGTGAGGAGACTTTCTGAAAGCTTTTGTAAATTTCAGGCTCAGATATCTCAGTTTTTACCCTTCTTGTCTTTTTGAATCCCCTGTAAGGATGAAGCTTGTAAGGTTTCTTCCCAGCTGCCTCAACTTGAGGGTTGGAAGTCTAAAGGATGTGACTTTTCTACAGTTTTGTTGACATCCCTCACTGTAGGACAGAGGGAAAGTGTTGTCAGACCTGGTAATTCTCAGATGGAGGAGACCTCAGAGATGCTGACAGCGGTAGGTCTAGGCTCAGAAGATTTGACTCTTAAAATTCTTCAACAGATTTATTTTCCTGAAAATCAAAAATAAAAATGAAAGATTTGTGTATGTAAGAAAAACAGATGGCAATTTCTTTTGAAACAAAAATTAACTGATGTATTGCAAAATGCCTTGCTATGGGAAAATCAGTTTCAAAATGATATCCTGAGTTTTTATTGCTTTGAATCCTTTTTTTTCTAAGTGGTAACTAGCTGTTACAAGGTTAAAGAAAAATTCAAATCACAGAACAGCAGCTAATAACTAGGCTAGATTAGGATGGTGTTATCCAAACTAAGTGGTCATAAAATTTACCTGAAGTACTTATTAAATTACAGACCCTGGGCCCCAATCTAGACCTTCTGAATAATAATCTCCACAGTAGGGATTTGGTCACCACTCTAGAGAGTCAGATTTTATTGGTCTGGGGTGGGGTCCAAGCACTGGTATTTTTAAAAAGCTCCCCAAGTGTCTCTAAAGTGCAGCCAGGACTGCAAACCACTGCTCTAGATTAACCAGGAAAGCCTAGCACTGAAATAAAGACCTAAATCTAAGGATTCATTTTTCAAATCCCAAGTCCCAGTGCCATGGGTCACTTTAACAAATCATGGAATTTTCAGAAATGCAGGCTTCCTTCAATTTTGTTTTTGTGTTCTATTTCTCTCGTTTAGGTCTATGGGTTGAGTATACACTCCCCCTCACTTTCCAACCAATATTTGTAGATCACAAGTAACTGAAAGGGTATGTTTGTTTTGAGCAAAGAATTGCATCTTTCATTATTGGTAAAGACAGAACCTTGTCTTTATTGGCATAAACATTCCACTTTGTAAATAGGAGCAACCATTTACTGTTGAAGGCTTCCAAAATGTTTTAGCTTGTTTTTTCCAAACATACATTTTGAATATGGGTGACTAAAATAAACAATATAAACCACCATAACCTGTCAAACTTCTATGTGCCATAGTAGCAGAGAGCCTAGTTCTGTCGCTTGTTAACATGCCCAAGGAGAATTAATAGAAACAGCTCTAACAATCACATTACTCTTCCTATAATCTTGAATTTTGTCCCCAGCCTGGGAACCCTTCAGCTTAAAGTTTATATTCACTAGCCCATGTTACTGTATTTTCTGTGATCTGCTTCTTAGCCTATCTACCTATTGCCCTTACCACCCATGCAGAGCCACCTGGTTCACAAGAAACAAGAGCAAAGAGACAGGGTTTCTTTCCACTGTCTTTGGAAACAACTTTTGCAGTACTTAAAGGTACATCTATTTTGATTTCTGATTCACTGGAAAGTGGGAAAGACAATCACAGTAGGTATCCTTTTGTTCCCTAGAAACATCAGCCCCAAAGGCAGTGGTTCACCTGAGTAGCTTGTCACAAATGCAGATCTCAGGGTCTGCTCTTGGGAGCTCTTTCTTCCCAGACCAATTGGTTCTTGACTTTGCTTGTTCTCCCATATCCAGTTTTTCTCAAGAGTGTGAGGCATGGACCCCCTACATCATTTAAAATGTAGACTCCTAGGCTGTTCCCCAGGCCTACTGAATTCTAATATCTTGGATCAAGGCCCAGGAATATGCATTCTAAGCGCAAGATTTTCAGGTGATTCTTTGCATATCGAACTCTGAGAGTTAACTATCAATTTTCTGTATAGTCAATTTACAATGTATCAATTTCTGGTGTACAGTCAGTTTTTCTATCTAGATAGCCCAGCTAAAGAATATAGCTAATCTGTCCTATTGGCTGTCTGGGGACTCTACTTTTAAAGAAACTATTTAAAAGAGTGCTACAAGTTGAATTATGTCCCTTCAAAGTATATGTTGAAGTCCTAACACCCGGTACCTGTGAATGTGACTTTATTTGGAAAAAGGATCTTTGAAGATGTAATCAATTTAAAATGAGGTCATCAAGTTGGCGCTAATCCAATATGACTGGTGTCCAGAGAAGACAGAGACATACAGTGGAAGGCAGAGGTAGATTGGAGGGATGCTTCTGCAAACCAAGGGATGCCAAGGATTGCCAGTAAAAATCTGAAGCTAGAGGAGCCAAGAAAGGATTTTACCCTCCAGATTGCCAAGGGAGCGTGGCTCTGCTAATGCCTTGATTTCAGACTTCTAGCCTCTAGACCTAAGAGAATACATTTGTTGTTTTAAGCCACCCGATTTGAGGTACTTTGTTTATGGCAGCCCTAGGAAACGAATACACAGAGTAATCACCCTGAGGCCCTAGTGTTTTGCAACCTTTGGGGCAATGTTCCTCGTTGTGTTCCAAGGAAGTCCCTTCATCAGAATCACCTGGAAGAAATCAATGCTAAGTGTCAAAATCATAAGTGGATATACTGTGTGCTGTACGAGGGCTGAGATACATAGAGAGAAATCTACTTTGGAGAGGTAAAAAAGAGAGAGAGAGAGAAAATTATAAAATTATGGTGGCTTTTCTCTTGAGTACATGCTCTAAAGATAAATGACTAAGGTGTGCATTAAAGGAACAAATTGTAAAAGAGTAGAAAAAGTGGGTTATTTTAATGTTTCTACTTTTTCAACCAGTGTTTCACTGACTAACATTACTAGTACCATTTAAAATTACAGTAAGACTGTGTTTAAGATGTGACAGTGGGAATGCTTGAATTAGAGGAAAGGAAAATAATAATAAATAATAAATAAATAAATGAATGAATGAATGAGTGAGTGAAAGGAAATTGAACATTACATAAAGGTTAAAAAAAAAACACCTGGAAGATTTGTGTTACAAATGCAGATTTCTAGGCCTTTTCTTTTGCTTGCTAGATCAGAATCTCTGGGGATAGGACCCTGAAATCTACATTTGTGACAAGCTCCCCACTTAGAGTTTCTAAGTTTCAAGGAATGGTTTCCAGTCCCTGCTGCCCTCTCGATCACTTATTCAACTTTTTGAAAAGATGAATACCTGGGTCGTTTCTTCAGAGGTTCTGATTCAGGAGGTTTGTGTGGAGCACGAACAGCTGTACAGCTTAAAGCTCCACAGGTGATTCTGACAAGCAGCCAGGACTGGAAAGTGCCACTCTACAAAAAGAACAGAACACTTTAGATTCAGGACTCTTGACAGTACCGCACAGCCCACATGGAGGCATTACTTTATCACCTGGCCTCCAGAAGACAAGTAGAAGACAACTAAACACTCACTGCTAGTGCAATCCAAGTGGGAAAAGCCTCTATGGTGCTATAGTATCTTTTTAGTCTCCTCTGGACCTCCAAATACACAGATTTGGAGAAATTCCACTCCTTGGTTTGGCACACGGTCATCATGGTTGTATCCAGGGTCTCTTTTATTTGCTTACTTAGTAACACCCATGGACAAACACCTGTGAACAAACACCTCCCACCTTTACGATTGAGAATAATAATTTACATGGCATCTACCTATGCTCCTCCCTATCTCATCCTACTACCCTCTCCTCCCCAGAAATTATTGATACTCTGAATTTTGTTCATCGTTACCTTGCTTTTACTACACACACACACACAGACACACACACACCCCGCCCTGTGCATAAACACTATGTTGTTGAGTTTTGTTTTGAACTTTATTTTAAAAAGTGTCAAGCTATATGTAATCTTCAATTTGCTCTTTTTACTCTACATTCCATAACTATATGATTTATTTATAACTATTCTTATAGGATGCAAAAGGAATAAAGATTTGGTAGCCGACATATTTCCTTTGAGGATCCTTATTATAGCCTTTGGACTTTACTCCATTCTCCTTAGCTTGGCATTCAAGGCTCTTAATGCCCTAGTCCTGGCTGACCTTAATTCCTCCCACTACCCTCCTTTCCAATCAAGCTGTAATGCTCATTGTCACCTACTTCCCTGCCTCCATGTCTTTGTTTGATCAGTTCCTTCCATATTTGCACATCTCTGCTTGGGGGAAATGCTACCATTCTTCATAGTTCAGCTCATAAAACCAACCTTGATTTCCCATCCAAATCCTAATTCGCACAGGCTTTGTATCTTTCCTAGAGAAGATACATTCACCTAATATTGTAAATATCTATTTGCTGTGGTTTTCCCCCAAACTGTAATTTATAAACCTCCTGAGCATCTTTTTCAACCTTCTATCCTTTATATAACCATATTTGCAGTAGCTGCTCAATAATTATTAATAAGTGCATGGGTATGACTAAAGAAATGCACTGAACACTGACAGTTTGAAGAAAAGTGCAGTGTTATCTCTGTTCTAATAGATAATATACCTTGGGGAAGCACCTGAAACTCCCTTTTATTTTAATTCCCCTCCCCACTCCCCTATCTCTTATTGTGCAAAGGAGACTAAATTCCCGATTATAATCTGGAATTAAGGAATAATCACTTTGTTAGAAACTTTGCTCTTGAATGACTATTTCAGCTACATGTTTTAAAGGAAAACTACATGGAATGGGTTTACAGCCTTAAGTTTTAGAAAGTTCAGTTGTGTCTATAGATGCTTTTCAGTAACAATTGATAATGCTGTCTCCTACACAGTTGACCCGGAATTGTCCTTAGGTCTAAATATTTGTTAAATATTTATTAGAATTCTGTGAAGCTTGGAGAAGCTGTAGAGAACAATGAACCCATGTACAGTTGTCAATTTCTTTGAACACTTCATTTGAGGAAAGACTAATCATATTTCTTAAAACCTCTACAGTCTGCAGAACACCAAACACCCTGGTCATTTCAAACAAGTCTATTGATTTAATTTCTTAAATCCATTAAGGATTTTGAAATGTGTAAATGAAAATTTAGGTGTTGGGATGTCCTCTTAGTTACTCTGCTCCTGTATCGGTGACAACTTCTCATAAAGGCCTTCCAAACAGGATTGCCATAGCTCTCTTTGCTAACTAATTAATGAGTTGCACAGATAATGTGATTGCTCTATTGAAATCTCAGGGCCATTTGGAAAGAAAAGCAACCATGCAATTTCAAAAGAAATCAAAATCCTATTCTAAAGGATCTGATTTTTGTAGAAAGACCCTTATAGAATTTTAGTATCCTGCAGTCCTTCTTGGAAAGCTCATAAAGTGAAAATCAGTCTCTAGTCTTTGTAACAGCGATAGAAAGTTGCTGAGGGATAAAGGTAAGAGTGAGGGATAGGAAAAAGGATAAGGAATTTGGAAAAGAAAGGAGGGGAGATGGAGAGAAGAGGGACGAGGAAAGGAAGGAAATATGAGGAGTGAGTCAGGTGATGAGGAATGTGGGAATGGATAAGAGGTGGGAGGAAATGAGTACTTAGGAGGTAAAGGTGAAGATGTGAAGCAGGAAAACACTGGGAAAGAGGAAGAACGGAAAAGGGGAGAGAAGTTGGGGGAAAGCACAAATGGAAAGACATTAACAATAATTGGCTAGTGTCCAACATTAGCCTGAACATCCAGTTTACTTCACTTCTACCGTAAATCAAAACACTCGCAAGCAATGTGAATGCACCTCTGATTTTCTGACTGTGTGTTTTGTCATTAACTTGGTAAATCAAAATCTTGGTGTAAAAAAAAATAACGGAAAAGAAACAAAACAACCACTTCTTGTGTTTTTGGTATGAACATTGAAATGCCAAATCTTCAGTAATGTTCGACATCAGCATAGTATACATAACCTCACAGAAGCAAAATAACATACACACCCAGATCACGAATTTCACTCCTTAAAATGAGAAGGGAATGTGGAGCTTTCTCCATCAATCAACCCTGAGAGGGATTCCTAGGGTGAAACTTATTTCTAATAAGAGAAACAAAGTTCTACGTGGAATTCCAAAATTAGATTGACGTTTATTCAGCAAACCTTGAGTGCCAACCAAGTACCAGACGAGTGCTGGGGATATAGAGAAGAATGTAACCTGATCCCTGTTTTGGTCCTCAAGCTGCTCCCCATAGTTACTTTTGCTTTTTCTTCAATGTGATAAAGTTCTGAAAGCAATTCACTCATGATTTTACATTTTTCTGAACGGCACCTGCCTATATAATTCCAGAGCTGAAATCCCACCACATAGCTAACGAAAAGGATCAGAGGAACAATTCAGAAGAGACAGTCAAAACTCTCAACTGCAACAGCTTTCAAGAGTTAATGCATTCTGTTTGTATTTATCTGCCCAGGGTAGGAGAGAGAAAACTAAGGGAGGTGGGAGCTGTTAGAGTAGCTAGTTCCACGGCAGCCTGTGAAAAAAACAATTCCAGCTGCAAGTGCTTTTTCAATAGCTGGAGCCATTAAGCAATAAGCTTCTCAAGTGGGAGTTGCTGTATCTTCTACGGCAGATGGTGCCTATTTGTCACACCTGCCGATAAATAAAATACCACTCATTTCATCGTGAATAACATCATAATATTTCCAAATCTCTCTTACCTTTCCTGGCTCACGGAATGAATGGGGTTGGTCATTTAAGGATCTCTTTTGAAGCTTACACCGACCGGCAACTTGTTCAGGTACATCTCTGGAATATCTGGAAAACAGAATGAAAGCCTTGTTTTGCCAAAGAAGCAGGACTATGTTCATGCAAAGTATGCTTTCTCTTTCATCTTCCTAAAGAATCAAACCTTTCCAGCGCAAAACAGAAAAGCACCCTATTAGTTACTTAAAATGCCAGTTGCCACTTACAGCTTCAGAGTGCAGTTTCAGATGCCTGCTCCTTATAAACTCCAAAGAGCCGAAAGAAGTGTCTGTTTGGATGTATATACACCGTCTGGAACACTTGAATGGAAGCAGCCTGAATAGTTAAGCCCCCAGTTCCTCTTTCGTAGGCAACAGTTTATAGAGTATGCGGGAAAAGGTAGTGATTCAGCGCTGCTCTGCCTTAGCGGTGTGGAGCCCGAGAGGGAGGAGGTAAGAGAGAAGCTGAGAAGCAAAGTTTGTACAAGCCTTCCACTTTAACCCCTTCGAGGCCTCTTCACAAATCTGTAGGATTAGTGAAGGCTCCCAGTTTTTGTAAAAACCTCTTCATATGACATTTACGGATATTAGCTCTCCTGCTCAATTCAAGAGGTTTTTCATCTTAGGTTTTATAGTAATGTATGCTTAGAATTGAAATCAAACATGGCAGGATGTAGTGGTATTTAAATAATTCCATCTTTACAAATAGAGTGTGTGCATATGTATGTTCCCAGGTTTGGAAAACATTTTTTTAAGTACCACATGAAGACTTTTATTTTGAATTTTTTTTTGTGGAGATTAAACATCAGTCTTGAAATCTAGGTCTGAGTTTCTGGTTGGGGGTCTAAGCTTTAGGTAGAATATCTTTGAAGAAGACCAGGGTACATATTCCATTATAAATGATTCATCCAACTAGTTTAAATGCCCTTACTGTGTTTTATATATATGACAAGAGGAAGGAGATTGACATTTCTTGAGTGCCTACTCTGTGTCAAGCATTTAAAGTAGAGAATTTCATTTAATCCTCACAACAGTCCTGTGACTTGGATATTATTACCCTCATTTTGCAAACAGGGATATCGAGGCTTAGAGATGAAGTATATCATGCAGTTTAGTATTGGAACGGGTATTTGAAAAGAAGGTAGTACGATCCCAAAGTCTCTGCTCTTTTCTCTGTAGCAGTGGTTCTTAACCTTTTGTGGGTCTTGGATTCCTTTGAGAACCTAATGAAAGCTATGGACCATCCCCTTCCTCAGAAATAGGCATATAATTTCCATGTTCCATAACCTCCAGGTTAAGAATAGCTGAATGTCCTCATGTCACTTTTCCAATATTATAAAATCATAGGTGCATTGTTCATCCAACAACTCATGGTCATCAACAATTTTTATTATGAAATTAATAATAATAATAGTATAATAATAACAATGTCAATCTTCAGCAAATTACTGCAGTGCTTTTTCCTTTATCCACAAATTCTCCTTAACAAGTCTTGCATCTTTTATCTTTTCATTTCCCTCATTCTACTGATTACAATGGTTTGAGACTCTCCTTAAAATCCTTAGCACATTATCAACATAATCTAAGACCTTGCGGAACATGCTGGGGTTTCTCAGACTGGAGTAGTATGCTCAAGATTCTTGAAACTACAGGGTAAAGCATAATGTATTTTTCTAGAGGATCAATTTTATTTGAAATTTCAGATAGAGAGAACATAGGCAATTTAAGTGATAATTTTCAACATAGTTTATATAACAATAAACATATATTGCAGAATAAAATGCAAACATTGTATATACTTTTACAATCAAGCATGAGACTTCAGAGAAATGTTGCACTTGCTGTGGTGCCTCTTTGGGCTACCCAGACTTCTCCAGGGATATATGTTCCTTCTATTCTGCCATTTGGGATATTTTGGTGGAAAAGTTTGAAGATTGTGTTGTAATAAAAAGACTATGGATTTTGATGTCAGCTAGACCTAGGTTTCAGCCTCAGTTTTGATCTGTATTTTCTGGGTTACCTTGAGTAATTCAATTAATTTCTCAGTTCTATCATCTGTAAAAAAGGGGAGAACTATCTTCATGAGGATTATATGAGAAAACATCTCTAAAGCATGCACTACATGGTAGATGCTCATAATTCAATTAATTTCTCAGTTCTATCATCTGTAAAAAAGGGGAGAACTATCTTCATGAGGATTATATGAGAAAACATCTCTAAAGCATGCACTACATGGTAGATGCTCAATAAATGTTAATGTTGTCATCTCAATTTTTAAATGTCAAAAGAGAATGAGACTATTTGAATATAATTGGAGATTTCCTGAGGGGTAGTCTAACATTTCCCAGCTAATAAGGGAGAAAAAAGGCCTTAGATAACATTAAAATTCAAGTTTCCAGGAAGATGTAATAGATATGCTACAATAGATGGGAAAATCCAAAGCCAAATCATGATATACAGAATTTACAAAGGAAATGCTCCAGAACAGTTTCCAGGAAATAAAAAGTCAGATTGTGGAGGAGATTGGGAAGGAAAACCTGTGAAAATATTTCTTTGCAGAGATCTATTGCCAGGCTAAGGTTCCACTCCACCTTCTACAGGAGTGCTGGAGCGGTGGAGGTATTACCTCCTTCACCTCAACTCTAGTGCGAGGGGCTTCACCAGACCACTCAGAGAGCTTGACAATTGTTCCCTGAAGTAGGGGCAGGGAATTGGAACTATACTTCATTCCAAGAAAGCTAATGTGGCCCTTGGCAGGAAGACAGGGTTGACTGTGTTAGGATTGGCCAGCATTCCCAGAATTTGTCAGGCAAAGGATGTTTGAATGTTTCCTGGGAATCAAGAGGGTGCCATGCAAGAGAGGGAGCCGAGGTAGGGGGTCACATTGGACCCTGTCCAACAGAGTCACCTAGAGGGGTGTAGAGGCCCCAGAAAAAAAAAAGGCTGGAAATTACTAAGATAACTGTCAGATTCCTAGAGGTTGAGGAAAGAGTTGTAAACTACCAACCTGAATATAAATTATAAACCCAGGTCTGCCAAATTGCAAGAGAGGGGTAGTTCAGTGATGGAGATGTTTAAAGAATCCAAAGAAGAGCCAGAAACTCAGAGAGTGGGAAGCCATTTGTCCTACCAAGGAAGAAATGACTGATCCCTTTACTTCTCTTCCCTGTTCCTACTTCCACCCTGGTGGGTGTCCAAATAGGAGCTGGCAAGTGGGGAGATAAAGAAAAAAATCTATCATCCCGCACATCTCCAAAGGCAGATGGTCACCACCTACAGGCCTCAGCATGGGGTGGGAAGGGGGGACCTTTTTTCTGAGTAAAGCCTGAAAAAATTGATTAATATCTTGGATGGAAATATGTTCTAATTACTGAATCAAGACTGTTTTGTGACTTTGAGTGATCTTAGGACTTTTTTATTCTTGAAGAAATGTCATGTGATTTGTCCAAGTTTCCATCCAAGGTTAGGGAAATTTTACCAAAGGAGTACATAGTATTTGCAATTGAGAGATAAAATAAAGTTGTGTTTTAATTCTATCATAAATTATACTTTAAAAATACTGATTATGCACATTAATTCATTCCTTCATTTAATGAATATCTGAGTGCCTATTATGTGCCAGGCATTGTACCAGGAATAGGACATACAGTGAAATGCAATATAGTCCTTGCTTTCAAATTGCTTATGGTCTATGGCAGGAGTCAGCGAAGGCTGACCTCTTGACCTAAAGGGCAAGATACTAAATATTTTAGGTTTTGAGGGACACTTAAGATCCCTGTTGCATAATCTTTTTTTAACCAACTCTGTAAAAATGCAAAGCCATTCTTAAGTGCTATACGAAAAAAGGCCATGGGTCAGATTTAGCCCATGGGCTATAGTTTGCTGTCTCCTAATGTGTGGAGGAAACAAATTTTTAAAAACCATCAATTATCTTACATTTATTATGATTGAAGATGTGTTTAGGGCACTTAGGGAGGAGACACAGAAGAGCATTGCCTGACTCTGACTGGGGAATCAGGGCTTCCTGGAAGCAGCAATGTTGATTTGAGACCTGAAGGTTGAGTAAGAGTTGGTCAGGGTTAAAGGAGATGAATGGTATTCAAGGCAGAGGGAGCTGCCTGTACAGAGGCACCAAGGCTCTGCCTTGACAGAGTTTCTCTCACTTTAGAAATTACAGAAGGGGAAACTGAACCTTACAGAGGTAGTTTGCTTAAGGTCGCAGAACTAGTAAGTGATGGAGCCTAGAGTCTTAACCCAGGTGTGTCTGAGTCTAAACCTATGCTCTTAGCTACTGTATCATGTTCCTGCCCCATTACTGAAGCTATGTCTAAGATCTACTTCTTACTGTTTGCAGATCAGCAGCTCTGTCTGGCTCACTTCTGATTCCCCTGGGGGTGAAAATATTACAGTTCTGGAAGGGCTTACAAGACCTTAAAAATAAGACACTAATAATAAATTAACAAATAATAATAATTAAAAAATAATTAAAAAATAAAATAATGTTGAGTTGTTTTGATTAAAACTCTAGTTCTCCCATTTAAAAATAACCTTTCCCCCAGTAAAACCTAGCACACATTGCTCAGATTCAGAGTTTGCTTATTTCATCCTTACAGGAAGGGTTCCCCCCACCCCCTACTCCCAGTAGCTAAGCCCTAGCACTGTAATAATGTAATTCCTTACCTTTTTGGTACAGATTTATAATGAGATAGTACCCTCTGGCTTGGACTACATATGATGATTGGCCCAAGTACTGTTCCTATCTTCATCACTCACATTGATGACCTTGGACAGATGAGTTTACTCAGCACAGATTAAATCTGTCAAGTTTTAAAATTAATTGCTTGATGGGTTTTTATTGAAGTAGCATGGTTTGGAAAGCTAGGTTAGCCGTGCAGCAACTACCCTTTGAAAACACTCACGTTAAAGCCTGCCATGTACTCTTGGCGTCAGTAAGAATAAAGTTTGAAATGAGGAGGAAAAGGGAATGAGAATGGTCCAGCCTTGCTGCTGCTGGCCTTCCAGTGATGAGTGGTTCTTAACCAGGGCTGTGGTTTGTCACCCAGGGAGCTCTTTCAAAATACAGAATCTTGGTCCTATCCAAGACCTTCTACAGGGCTGAGACCTGAGAGTATGTATTTTTAACAGGCTTCCCAGGTTAAGAATCATTGCCGTGGGGTAACAGACAGATAGGTGCCTAATGAACTGATTGTCCTAAAAAATATATCAGACACTCTTGTCTATGCATAGAAATTCTCCTTATTTTTTACAGAAATAGGAAAAAATCCTAAAACTCATATGGAACCACAAAAGACCCTAAATACCCAAAGCAATCTTGAGAAAGAAGAGCAAAGCTGGAGGCACCACACTTCCTGATTTCAAACTATATTACAAAGCTATAGTAATCAAAACAGTATGGCGCTGGCAGAA